TGTCTCGTGCCACAGCTGCTTCTATATCAAGCCGGCATTTCTTGCAGTTCTGTCAGTGTATTGTGCTAGCCGGTTCAAATAATTCATTAGCAGAATTTTACTTCAATGTGATATTATTGCTAGTGTTCAGCAATTTCTATATTCTCTGGGATCACCTTTTTTTGGGAATAGGAACAAACAAGAAATTCTTCCAATTGAGTGGCCTGATAGCTGTACTACGTATTTCCTGACATAGCTTTGTTACTGAAACACTTCAACTGGTACCCTATCAATCCTCTGGTAGTTAGCAGAAATATTAAAATGGCTCTTTGGAAAAGTTCAGCAGTGTCTTAGATAACATATTTCCCATTTGACTCCTCAATATCACTCAGAAGTATTACCCAGGATAAAAAAACCACAAAACATTTTTCACAAAGATTTTTTTTATACAAATATTTAGACATATACTCAGAGCAATGATTCAAAAGTGGAAATTAAATGTCCAGTGAGAGGGGAGTGAATAAACTGTGACATATTTGCTCCACTCAAGAATAAAAAGGATTAAATTGCTTACACCAGTAGCATCAAGGATGAACCTAAAAATCATCCCATATGAGTTCAGGAAAAGATTTTAAAAAAAAAACCCCAACAAAAACTATGACTCCTGGCGAGCTCTGGTGGCCTAGTTGCAAGAAGCTGCACTGCAATCCCGGAGGTGTGCGGTTCAAATCCACCAGATGCTCTGCTGGAGAAGGAGGAACAATCTCCTCCTGTACCAGTCAGATCTGATTTGACTGTACACACACACAAATAATAATTAAAAAAAAAAAAACCTAAAAAAAAAAACCACTATGACTCCTCTCATACTACATTACAGGAAACACAAAATTTAATGATATTAAGCGTATCAGTAGTTAAAAAGGTATGAGAGTTACAAAATGAGACATGTGGGTACTTGTATATAAGCACAAGGAAAATATACAAAAACTCACCAGATGTTAAAAATAATGCATTTTAAACCAAAAAAATGCATTTTACTGCATATAAGTTATAAAAAACAACACTCTTAAATTGTAATTTTGAAGCTTATAATGTATTTTTTTATTATTCACTGTTTTGGAGTTCTGAAGACATTCAAATTACAACACTGTAGTTATTTTGGTTGTTTATTTTTGAGATTTTAATTAAAGTTTATAGAAAATGTAGATTTCCATTCACTGTTGTACATTTTCTTCCCGGCCTATTCCCACTAGTTCATTTTTTCTCTTTGAAAAAAATTCTTTCATTGTTGTACAATTCCCCACCCTCACCCCAGTCCACTTTACTATGCAGCACTTATTCTGGACTCTTGTCCATATAATCCTTTTAAGGAGTTCTTTCCCTCATCTGTTTCAATGCAGTGTACATTATTTATCCCCTTCGTTTCCTCCAACCCCATGTCTGTCCTGTTTTATAACAGTATTTGTCCTTTTGTGACTTGAGATATATCACTCAGCATAATGTCCTCCACAGTGACTCATTTTATATATTATTTCATGAGTTCCTTGTTTTTCAGTGCTTCATAGTATTCCATTGTGTGACTATACCACAGCCCCTCTATCCATTCGTTTGTTGATGGGCATTTGGGTTGTTTCCAACTCTTTGCTACTGTGAACAACACAGCAATGAACATGGGTGTGGCATGTATCTGCTTGGGTGGCAGTACTGGTTTCTTTAGGGTATATTCCCAGTAATGGAACTGCTGGGTCAAATGGTATTTCTATTTGCAACTTTTTGAGAAAGTGCCATACTGCCTTCCATTTTACACTCCCACCAACTGTGAATAAGGTTTCCGTTTTCTCCATAACCTCATTTGTTTGCTTGCTCTTTTGGTTGTTGTGAAATCACATTCATAAACCAACGCTTTTTAGTAGCAACCAGGCAAATGTGCTTCACCCAAACTCATGCCAGGCTTAATTCTCAAATGCTTTAATAAATCAAATATATCTCAGAAGGGAATAGATGACAAACACTATATAACACTATTGTCATAAAATAGGATGGGCGCCTGGTTGGGCAGAGAACGGGAAAAGAATGGATAGATAATGAACACTGAAGAACAGCTAAGGGGAAGAACCGTCCAAAAGGAGTAATGATTAGTCATTTATACGTATGACAACAATCTGGAACACAGGATGCATTGCAGGATGGTATGCAGAAGAAAATATACAAAGAATTTTTTTTTAAAAAGGGGGGGGAGTTGATTTTCTAAACTAATTTCAAAGTAATTTTAAAAGTGTATTTTAGGAGCTCTGGTGGCCTAGTGACAAGAAGCTGCACTGCAATCCCAAAGGCATGTGGTTCAAATCCACCAGATTCTCAATTTGAGAAGGAGGGGCTACTTCCTCCTGTCCCAGTCAGATCAATTTCAATGATACACAACAACAACAAAAAGTTAATTACTGAAATAAAGTATAATGAAAAAAATATTTTATAAAAATTTTGTTACATTGTGTTTGTATGTGCACATGTGCATTTGCACAAACAAGCACTCATGAGTAAAAAGTAATAAAAATACATGTAATTCCTTCAACAGATGGTATTCTAGGTGTACTATGAACATGACATGCATAGCCACATTATTTGCTACATTAAAAAAAAACAACTGGGGGGAGGGCTGGGCAGGGAGAATAATGCAACAATGAATGAATGGAAATCCAAAATCTCTGTAAATGTTCATTAAAATTCTTTTTAAAAAAAATCTAGTAATGCCTTTTCCTATATGTTTTACAACTATATATGCTCAAAATCTAGACCCAAATATTTAAAACTTTTAAAATTTACAAGGTATTTCTCTGGATTCTCTATTAGCATGTTCTTCATTTTTCTAATTTACAGGTTTTCAGTCATGAACACTATTAATTTTCTGCACTGCCAACCTCAAGGTAATGGTTGAAATCGATCATCTTATTCTGTGGGAAGAAAAATAGGCAATTTCCTCTTGTGTAATCTACAACATCTGAAAACCTGCTGGAGGGTCAGCCATGAGTCCATTCTGACTCCACAGCACATAAAAGCTGCTGCCACCACTACTACTAATGTAAAGGGAATAAGTATTTTAAACACTGACACTCTAAATGCCAGTAAAAAGCCTTAATTACAGATATAATTAAGTTTACAGGTCCTTTCACTTATGGTGCAGTTAAAAGCAGCTATTCTGAGTTTTCTAAATTAACTGATTATTTATCCTTGATACATAATTCACATACCATTCAATTTACTGATTTTATTTTCCCAGTTCACTGGTTTAGGGTTTTTTAACATCTTTTTTATTACTGTGTGTGTGTGTGTCATCAAGTCGGATCCGACTAGTACAGGCGATTGCCCCTCCTTCTCCAGCAGAGCATCTGGTGGATTCGAACCACGTACCTCTGGGAATGCAGTACAGCTTCTTGCCACTAGGTTACCAGTGCTCCCTTTAAAGTATACAATTCCTTATTTCTATGTTGTCTGATACTGTATTGTGAAACCATTGCCACAATCATTTTAGATCTTTTTCATCCTGCATTTGCTCACAATCCCAAGGTTATCCAACAGGATGTGGAAATTATCAAATAACATATATGTATCACATGCAAGTAAAATATTGCTGAGGATCATCCAAAAACAGAACAGTACACTAACAGAGAACTGCTGGAAGTTCAAGATGAGTTTAGAAGAGACCATGACACTAGAATAGGTGTCATTGCTGATGTCACATGGATCTTAGCTGAAAGCAGAAAATGTCTATTTGTGGTTCACTGACAATGCAAAGGCATATGACTTTATAGATAACAAACTATGGCGGACACTGAGGGAAAGAGGAATTCCAGAACACTTAACTAATCATTCAAGAAGCTGAACTTTATGGAAAAGGAGGTGGTATTAGGATCAGAGGGAGACTCAACAAGCCGAGTTATGCAGATAACACAACCCTGCTTGCTGAAAGTAAGGAAGATCTGAAGTACTTCTTGTAGAATATCAAAGACTTCAGCCTGCAATATGGATTATATCTCAACATCAAGACCTCACCTCTGGACCTATACAGGGAGCATGAGAAATGAAGAAAAGATTGAAGTAGTCAATTATTTCATCTTACTTAGATCCACAATCAGTACCAGCAATCAAGAAATCAAAAGGCATACTGCACCGTGAAAAGTCTGTTGTCAGGGACCTCTCCCAAAGTATTCAAGAGAAGTGCCTGAATCAACCCACGGTTTTTTCAATCACCTACTACGCACCTGAGAACTTGACAGTAAGTAAAGATGACAGAAGTTATCTTGTAATGTCAGAGAATAGTGCTGTGTGCCCCATGGACTTCCAAAAGAACAGGCACATCTAAGAGAAAGTGCTACCAGAATGCTCCTTAAAGGCAGGCAAGGATGGTGAAGCTTCATTTCACATACTCTGGGCATTTTGAAAGAAGAGGTAATTCCTTGGGGGAAAAACATCATGCTTTGGAAAAGTGGAAAGATGGTGGAGAGGATAACCTTCCCTCAATGAGCTGGACTGACACAGCAGCTGCATCAATGGGATCAAGTTTATCAGCGATGATAATGACAACATAGTATAGGACATTGTTCACAGGAACCTTGTGAGTTGCACTCAACTCAATGGCACTTAAGAACAACGTCCTACTACGGAGGTCCTGATGCCACATTTTTCTTCATATACTCCGTATTTTCAAATTATTTGCTCCGTATACACTTCAATTAAGTATGGCAAAAAATAGCCAAACCTGGAGAGCTCTGGTGGCCTAGTGGCAAGAGCTGCACTGCAATCTTAAGAAGTGCACGGTTCGAGAGTTGCGTCGCGTCTTACGGGAGCTGGAGGTGCAGGTGCTCAGGCCGGACGAGCGAGGTGCCGGATGTGAAGAGCGGGAACGCGGAGTCACGGAGCCTGAGGATAACTAATAACTGCCAGAACATCACGAGACTGGACTTCTATTATCATCTAAAAAGCCCTCAGTAAGCAGATTTGACCCTTGACCTGTCAAGTCTTCCATGATGCTGGGTCCTGAGGGAGGTGAAGGATTTGTGGTCAAGCTCCGCAGCTTGCCATGGTCTTGTTCTATTGAAGATGTGCAGAATTTCCTGTCTGAATGCAAAATTCATGATGGCGTGGCAGGTGTTCATTTCATCTATACTCGAGAAGGCAGGCAGAGTGGTGAAGCTTTTGTTGAACTTGAATCAGAAGATGATGTAAAAATGGCCCTGAATAAAGACAGAGAAAGCATGGGGCACCGCTATATTGAGGTATTCAAGTCACATAGAACCGAAATAGATTGGGTGTTGAAGCACAGCGGTCCAAATAGTGCCGACACTGCCAATGATGGCTTTGTGCGCCTTCGAGGACTCCCATTTGGATGCACGAAAGAAGAAATTGTTCAGTTCTTCTCAGGGTTAGAAATCATGCCTAATGGGATCACTTTGCCAGTGGACCCTGAGGGCAAGATTACAGGGGAAGCCTTTGTGCAATATGCTTCACAGGAATTAGCTGAGAAGGCTCTAGGGAAGCACAAGGAAATAATAGGGCACAGGTATATAGAAGTGTCCAAGAGCAGTCAGGAAGAAGTGAGATCATACTCCGATCCCCCTCTAAAGTTCATGTCTGTGCAGCGACCAGGCCCCTATGACAGGCCTGGTACTGCCCGGAGATACATTGGCATTGTCAAACAAGCAGGCTTTGACAGAATGAGGTCTGGGGCTTATAGCACAGGTTATGGGGGCTATGAGGAGTATAGTGGCCTCAGTGACAGCTATGGTTTCACCACTGATTTATTTGGAAGAGATCTCAGTTACTGTCTGTCAGGAATGTATGATCACAGATATGGAGACAGCGAGTTTGCTGTTCAGAGCACAACTGGACACTGTGTCCACATGAGGGGGCTTCCATACAAAGCGACTGAGAAT